GTGGGGGAAGCAGACCTATAGCTCTGACCTGGTTAATTCAGTTCACATCACCAGTCCAGGGGCTGCCCAAGGCTAAAAAGCTTCTGGTCCTTTTTAGGGTGAGGCCAGGTCACCCCAGAAGTCCCCCAGGGAGCAGGCGGGGGGGGGGGGGGGGGGGGGAAGGGGAGAAAAGCCTGCCGCCCCCCCACCCAGGGGCCAGGAGCTGCTCTGGGGCCCGCCCTCCCCGGTGGGGACCGGAGACCTTTCCTCCTCACTCTCTGGGCCAGCTGTTTCAGCATCCACTCTGGAGAGTGAGGGGGAAGGGGAGGGCAGAGGTTGGGTTAATACAGATGGTGACCACCAGGAGGTCAGGGGAGGAGGGGGATGGGACAAGAGAAAGGTGATACTGACAGGAAAAGTAGGCAATCCGCTCATGAGTAGGGAATGAAGCTTGTGTTGACCACCCGGGGGCAGGGGAGAGGGTTACCACGGGAAATATGGAAAGTGGGTGAAGCTCAGGGCTGGGGGGAGGGGAGAGCAAGCAAGGAAAGGGATCCAGGAGGAGGGTCACCGGGGAGGAGGCGATGGGGGGTGGAGGGGAGGGTATTACACGAAGTAGGAGACCGCGATGGGACAGGGGGTAGGAGGAGGGTGACGCCCGACCCGGGCCGCGAACACAGACGAGGCGGCGCTCAGCACGTAGCGAGCGCCGGGCAGCTGGGGCCCCTCGCCGGGCCGGGATGTGGGGCGCAGGCGGGCGCCGGCGTCTCAGAGCATCCTCAGCGGCCGCGTCGCCGGGCGTGGGGACCGCGGGCCTGCAGCCGCCCGGCCCCCACCTCTTCCCCGGCAGCGGGGTCGGCCCAGCCGCGCCGCCCTCCCGCCCCGCAGCCCCCAGAGACCCGCTTACCTGCGCCGGGAGCGCGAGCGGCGGGGGCGACTGCTGGGGCCGGGGCGACTCCGCCGCCCGAGGGCGCGGACGCGCTGACATCCCCTGCCCGCGCCGCGGAGCCGCTGCCGGGCGCTGCTCGGTCCACGCCGCGGGACCGCGAGCGGGAGACGCCGCTG